GGTCAGATGAAACTCACTCACATCAACCTAACCTGCCATGTTTGGAAGAACAGATGTTCTTTGGGTCACACTCAACATATCTGTTCTTTCCAGTCTCCAGACCTCAGTCCTGTAAACGTCTGTGGAAGGAGCTCAAGCTTCAGGTAGCTAAGCAGGTAGCTAATCTGTTAGCCAAGAAAGCTAAAAGATTTAAAGAGTTTCTGTAAAGAGACTCGCTGCGCGTTAAATATAAACAAATGTCCAAGAAACCCATCCGCATATATACATATTCTGTACAGTGTCTGAAAATATAATGGTCTATACCAGGGGTCTGCAACCTTTAACACCCAAAGAGCCACTTGGACCCGGTTTCCACGCAAAAGAAACACTGGGAGCCGCAAATACTTTTTGACATCTAAAATGAAGATAACACTGCATATATTATTTTGTTTTGTTTTTTACCTTTATGCTTCAACTAAGGTGTGTTGCTTATGAAATCCATGAAGTGCTACAGAGAAAATTACATGTTATTTATGTAATTAACACATTTTGAACTCTTAAAGAAATATAACAAAAGGAAAGACACCCAGCTGAACTAAAATGATCCAGCAAACAAAAACTGTTGTGAGGCCCCCTTATATCGCCTTTGGGCTTTTGGAGCCTTGACCTGACTTTGAAAAAATAATTGGAAAAAAAGCACTATGCTGCTAAAAGATGAAAAATAGATATTTGCAAAATTCTGCCTAAATATGTATTTTACCAGGTTGATGTGTGTGGCGGGGCATCGTCTGCAATGCCGCTGCAGGGGAGGCGGACGCACCTGAGCGGCACCCGCAATCTCGCCTCGCCGCTTAACGTCTGTGCTCTCGGCTGTTGTGTTGGTGTGTGTCGGGCTGTGAGCTGAAAAGCTACAGCCGGCTGTATGCGTACAGCAACCGTGTGTGAAAAGTGGTCAATAAAGAGATGCTGAAAAGCACGTTCATGGAAACATCGTCGGGTCTGCGTGGTATGTTTACAATGGGACTTCCGCTCCTGAACCTCCGCGCACAGCGTCTGAAAATCGGGGCTTTATTAAGTCACTTTCATCTTTACGCAGGACTGTAAGCTGTCATCTGTGAGGCGTGAGCGGTGTTTGTTTTTAACATAGTTCACGGTGGAGAACAGCTGCTGACATAATGTGGATCCGAAGATCCATAATTGGCCTACCTGGGGTTGAAAGTCTCGATAAATGCATGGCGCTTCGGCGGGTATACCGGCTTCCGCGAGTGTGACGCTTATTTTGAGCGATGAAAAAATAATAAAATATAATTTTATTTTATATTTCAATATCACAATAATCTTCCAATTTAGAACTACAAGTTAAAAAATAACTAATCACAAATAAAACACACTTCAGCTAAATACTTCTAATTTATTTTCCCAGACCACGCGGAGCCGCAGTACAAGGACTAAAGAGCCGCATGCGGCTCCGGAGCCGCAGGTTGCCGATCCCTGGTCTATACTTTTGCTTAGCTCGTAAAAAACAAAAAAACTTTTCCTCAAGAACTTCTTTAATGTTGCAAATCTGTAGAAAAAGGAGATTTTTTTTGTACCAAAGGACTGGGGATATAAAAATAAATGGTCCTGGCCTGGATGTGCACTCCAGCCTTTCTTCAGTTGCCAATCCACTTCTGTAACTGATGGCTGCTGGCATGTCAGAGAAACTGACACTTTGTCTACGTGCTGACATGCACCTTTGATCTGCCAGGCTGTAGATTCCAATTTGGATGTAGTTGCCTATTGTTTTTGCTCCCAAGCTGCTCTGTCTGACAGGGACCATCTATTTCAACAGCTTCCTACTCCCACTTGTATTTTTATTCATAACTCTTTTGTCATCTCGACTCAGTTAATTTTTTTCTCCTTACTAATACAGTCAGTAGGCTCGTCTTCTCCCTTCCAAATGGATCTCACGTTACATCTTTCTTTTCCTCCATGACAGGATTCATCATTTTTCAGTTGGAAATGCAGATCTTTTGGTGATTGTTATTTTTATTATGAAATGTGGACAGATCAGAGATGATGGCAGCCTGAGCTTGTGTGTTTTGGAGCGCTTGTCCCTGCGCGCGTCACACCTGCATCTGTGTGTGTTTATCGAAGCTGACACGTGAGAGCTCTCTCATCTGAGAGGATTGACGGAGCCATTATGGTGGCGGCGCTGTGTGGGTTGAAGCCCATTAGTGACGCTACACCCGCTGCAGTGTGGACGCCGGTCCCAGCAGCGTGGCCTGTCACCGCAAGACGGATTACCCCACTATGCTGCCACTCTACATCCCCTCGCCTCAGCCTCCCTTGTGTGTATTTGTTTTTGAAGACTAAGGTTGCAATTATGCACAATATCCGTCTTTGTTTTGTAGTTGAAAATCAGTTGTTTGTGAAAACACTTTTTGTCTCTCGTGGTCACAGTGCATTGTCAGATGTATTCCCATTTAAAAAGACAGAAAAATACAGGATACATCAACTTGAGACTGCTTCAGCTGTTTTTGTAGACTTTAAAAAACTGATAAAAGTCTTAAGTAGTGCTTTACTGCAGTGAGTGTGTGTTTCTGTGCTGACAGCAAGTTTTCTATGTGTGTGTCTGTTTGGAAGCAGTACTGTCACGCCTTCATCTGCCCTCCTTCCATGGGGATCCTTAAGAGATGAGATGTGAAATGTTGAAAGCAAACAGACTCTCAGGTTAAACCTCTGTGTGTGTTTACAGTGTGTGTGTGTGTGTCTGCTGAAACTTCCTTGCTGTGGAGTCCAGAAACATGCAAATCAAAGTATTTCTGCATTTCAGTCACGCATGGATGATGGTAATTCGTGCTCATTATAAAACATATTGAATATGCAGTGTACAGGACAGCTGTGTGGCTGTGTAGGGCCATTTTGCTGTAAATACTTAGAAGTCAGAACTCTACAACTCTACATTTCCAGGTTTTGCTCAAAATGTGCAGTTTAACTTAAAGAGTAAATTGTGTTGGACAATAAAAAGCACACTCACACACATTCAGAAACACAGAACTCAGGCCTGAGAAGCAATCATGTAGCAAGGGCAGAGGTTATGGGAACATCACCTTCCAGGTTCTCATTAGACACTGATATGAATGATAAGGACCAGTCACTGAACAGAGCCATTCATAGGGTTATCTGTTGTGTCCATCACATCACACAGAAAGGCATTGCATCCACATTTGGATTACAAGCATGGCATCATTCTGGATTTAAAAGCGAAACTTTTAATGTTTGTTCATGTTTAGACAAATCACATTAGTTAAAAATAACGTACAACGCATTGCTATGCCATAGAGTTTATAAAACACTGAGCATAATCTGAGTCTGAAAAATTAAGCATGAAATTTCCTAAACCTGCATTCATTTTTTATTATTTTTTTTAAAATGATTTTTTTCATTAAAAATAAAATTGAAAAATAAAAAAGAAGCTTTTGTTGATTGATGTTGGCATTTTAAACAAACAAACAAAAAAAAGAGGACAATTTGCTGAACTTAGTGGGCAGTACCTGTGTTTCCACAACTGAATGTTCAAACATTCAGTTTCAGTCAGTCACCGACAGCAAAAGACTTCAATGCAGTCACTGGGCAAAAATTGAAGCCAACTTTAGTGAAGAATATCTAAAAGACAAAATAATGCTTAAGTTGATTATTGTTTTTTGTGCACCTTCCCAGGACCTTGTTTCAGATAACAATAAATGAGTTGTGTTGTGAGTGAGTCTGTTTTGTATCAAGTCCTAATCCCCGTCTTATGGCTCAGTCACACTAGAGTAAAAATAGGATGGCAACATCTCTGTAACTAGGAATAATCACTGGTCGCCTGGTAATTGCATTGAAGTTTTTTGCTATCGGTGAACAATTTGCAAGTAGTTGCTGTGAGTATTTTTATTGCACGTTGCCTGGTGAAAAGCAGCCTGTCTCCAAACAACTGAAGTGTATCTTCAGAGGAGTCGTTCAAAGCCAGTGAGTTTGCAAATTCTTTGCACAATTGTGCAATAAATATGCTCATGCTGAAATCTCTGACCACGGTTTTAGTGTGACTATAACTTTATACTCTGTTTCATTTAAATAACTCCTCTGTTTTCTTGATTCAGAGTATATTCAAGGTCTTAGACTGTAACTGTTGAGCATCTTTTGTTTGTCTTTGCGTCTCAGATCAGGATGGAGCTGAGCCCAGTGCTAACTCAGTCTCAGCGTTCAACCTCCTTCGTCTGTCCCACTACACTGGAAGACAGGAGTGGCTCCAGAAGTCCCAGCAGCTACTGACGGCATTCTCTGACCGTCTGACCACTGTTCCCATAGCCTTGCCTGAAATGGTGCGAGCTCTTATGGCCCAGCACTACACACTTAAACAGGTGAGTTTGAAACTAACACACATGATCATGAAGGGGAACAAGTTCAGGCACCAGAAGGATTTATGTTGTCCTGTGAGTTCACCGGTTATTAAAGTCTTTTGAGTTTTGCATGTAGGAATCAGGGCTACTGGTGGGTTTTAGTTACTATGACAACCAGATAATACTTTACAATTGGTATTGGTAGGATAGTCAAAGTAGTCTTGATTTAATATTACGCATTTAAAGTGCCACTGTTGATTGGTGTTAGCCAAAGACAGTTGTCCTAAAAGCCAGGTTGGCTTGGAGAGCAGGTGTTTGCCAGGCTGCCAGCCCAAATTGATTTTTGCATCCACCCACTAAAGGCAAAGGTTTCTGCTTGAATGATGTATTGTGCAAACACAGTTTGTCATGCAATTTGCATTTAGCGGTAAACAAAAACTGAAGAAAATGATGTGGCATAGCAGAAACAAAAGCTGAACAAGAAGCTGGTGAAACAGATTTAACTGATTCTCTTGTATACTCAGTAACCATGCAGTAAAGTGAACGTGAATCAGTATGAAACTATTCCACTACATCTCTCCACAGCACTGCAAATAAAGTTTTATTGATTGATGATGTTTGCATATTTGGGTAATAAAGTTCTCTCTTTAGTTGGTCAAACTACAGATGCCATGAAGCAACCAGAGCCTAAAGTCATGTCTGTTTGTTAACTTTTTTTATAATAACAAATATTGCAAAAAGTGAAAGACAGAGATAACGTATACTATTCCTTCCGATTGCAAATCACAGCAAGCAGCCCTACTGTACTGTACTTTACTGTATTGTGTTTCAGCCATTCCTAAACTTCCACGGCACAGTTTGAAATGGGACACACAAAACTTTTAGTCACTCTGATCGTCTCACAAATGAAAAATGAAACGTTTCCTGTGCGTGTTTTGTCATTCATTTGTTTTAATCTTAGTTTTTCTTTCCAAATTAAGTTTCCTGGTTACTATGAAATGTGAGATGAGTTCAAGATCAGGAAATGGTCTGAAAAGCCTGAATAATAATAATAATAATAATAATAAATAAGTTATTTTGAAACCCCTTAAACCCTCAGAAGTTCTTTAGAATCCCAAAACTTTTAAAATAAAAATGTGTTGATTTTGAAACCAATCCTAAAGGATTTTATCCTGTAGGGTTAAATAATAAGTGCATCTAATTTTATAAAGTTATCAAACAGGATTAAGTTGTATAAAAGTCTAAAAGGTGTGACTTTTAAAACGATGCTTTTCTGTGCACTTGAAATGTAATTTGTTTGTAAGAATCAAATATATTTTTTTAGGTATTTATTGTAAATTATGCTGCGCGGCCCACCTGGATCAGTTTGTGACCCACATTTACGTTATCACTGTTAAACATCTTTTACTGAACAAAAAAAAAAAAGTTACGATTTTTGTTCCCTGAAATCAAAACGATTTTTCATTTAATGAAAAAAGATAGCAGGGAGCTTTTTAGTTCAGTCAAGTCCATTTTGTTTTTATATCACATTTGTGTCTGCTTTTAAAGTAATAAGTAACATTGTGTTCAGAAGTTGTTTTTGTATTGTAAATCAGTTTTTGATTGATCTCAGCTCCTGGCAACTAATTTCTTAGTCGACTAAATGAGGGGCTGCACAGGAGCGTGTGGTGTAGGGCTGCAACTATTCCTCAGCATAATCGACGACATCGCCTGCGCAGAAATTTATTGTCGACGCATCAGACGCTAGTACCACGTAAATGTGTTTTTGTAACTGACCGCAAAACAAGGAGGACGGAAGAAAATGGAAATGAGAGATTAAGATAAACATTAAATGTAGATTGTGCAAAGTGGAGCTTTCCTCCCACAACAGCACTACCGCAGTGCGTGATTATTTAAAGCGCCCGCACCCTGGAGCTGTGACGCCAGGTCTGAATGGGTCCGTTTTAGAAAGTTAAAGAAAAAGGCAAATTAGATCACTACATGAATAATCTTTAGTTACAGCCCTGCTGTGGTGGGTGAAACCTTTCTCCCTCCTTTGTCCGATCAGACTATCAAACCAGCTTGACTAGCAGTGACTTAAATAAAGGATCAAGCCTAGATTTACAGATTTATGGGGGTTTCTACAGCGATCTTGGGGCTGCAGCTCCATCTGGTGGCTCATGGATGCATAACCTTTACGACACAATAAATTGCTGGCATCGATTGAAATGTTAACAATTAGATTAAATGAGCAGAATGTCTGGTACCAACCAGCAGCGACAGTTAGTCATCTAGTCAAGTAGTCACGCACATCCTTAAGCTGAGGAAGTGTTCTAAATCAAATGAAGGATGAAAAATCTTTCACTTTATATATAATGAAACTGGAATGTATGAAAGTTTTGCAGTAATTAAAAAAATAAGAATTTTTTTAAACAATGTTGTATTTCTTTAGCTTCATTGGTAAACCTCGATCCCAGTAATAATCATGAGTTAGACTGTGAACAAAGTGGCTGTGTGTGTAATTTACTGACTAATGAAAGTGGAGTTAGAGCCAAGTAGCCTTCAATATCCTCACCATTCACAATATTTATGTCCTGTGCTGTTTCTCCTCCGCTGCTACTTTTTCATTATTAACTTGGAAGCTCAGCCCCATCATATAAACCCTGTTTGGATAAACATTTGTTTACAAGAGTCCTCCTTAAGCAAGCAGCTAATTTGTTGATAATATTTTTCACCCCATTTCATGGCCCGTAGGTCATCTGAGGACAGCACCTCTCTAAGCTCCCTGCACATCTAATCCCTGGACACACAGACTCTTAATCATTTTCCCCTGTTTTTAAACAGGACTTGTGCATTTAAGGGATTATTTCAGCTGTTCAGTTATGTAACTGCTTTGAAATATTAACACCCTCAGTTTAGCCTGAAACCACCAAAACTAGCAGGCACAGCAGGAGTTAGCCCAAAGTTTCTGTAACACTCAAAGAAAATTTTAAGTTTGAAAGCGTGTGAGAGAAGGGAATAACAGGAGCCTAAAACAGGATTAGTTAGGGGTTTGTCTGTCATAGATGACAGGGTGACAGGTCAGGGTAACAGTGCGAGGGTAACAAACTGAGAAGTAAAGCAGGGGAAGGCAATCCCAGAGAAAACACCTGCCTCCCTTGTTAGTGCTACAAATACAGTACTGACCTATATCACTTCCTCTCCATCTCCTCGTCCCACGTGTCACCTTTCCCCCCCATTGCTTTGGTCTTATTATACTTCTTTCCTCTTTCTTCCTTCTCCTTTCATCCACATAATCTTTTTTTCCTCACCCTCCCTCTTCTATTTTTTTTTATTTATCTTTTTTAGATTGTGATCTGTGGCCAGAGGGATGCTCCAGATACCACAAGTCTCCTAGCAGCAGTCAAGTCCCTCTTCCTCCCATATAAGGTAAGCTTTCAACATCATGTTTGATTGAAAGTGATGCATCATTTCGACAAACTGAGAAAAATATATCACCAATCGCTAAAGCAAAGATCAGCTTTCAGCTTTGTAGACGCATGCTGATTTACTCCAGCGTCAGTGTCTTTAAGGAGGCAGCAGATTTGCACTAACCTTCTAAACGTGCACACACACTGACACACAGAAGCAGAGTGAGCCCAACGTAGAACAGCGCCTGTGGCGTTGGCTGATTTAAGTGTGGTTTTTTAAAGGTCAGCCTGAGCTTCTCTCTTTTCCACTCCTCAGTGTAATAACTTCCCAGCTATCTCTTTGGGGGCATTAGTTGACCTTAAAGCCCGTTGCTGACATTGAAAGGCCCAGTAGGTCTAAATCTTAACTCTGCAGTCGGTGAAGGCCTTACTTGTCTTCCTGCTAGCCCTGATGGAGGCTGGTAGTTAAGAACTGGACAGCTGTCAGTCTGAGTCAGACTTAAATTCACTGTGGCTAGCCAACATTTTTCAGTGCTTTCAGACAAAAAAATGTTTCTCTGTGTTTCACACTAAATATAATAAATGTTAAAAAAACAACAACAGCATAAATTGTATATAATGGCAGGTTACCCGTGGTGAAAATCCAGTGTGGGAGTGCCTTTAACCTGCTTTCTTTGTAAACTGAACATGTTAGAGTAAAACCTAAAAGATTGTCAAACAAGCACCAGAGGTTTCCAATTTGTGAGCGTTAAAAAAATGTCTTTTTTAGAAAATTTTGACACAAAAGGAAACAAAGCTAGAAGATGAGCCAGTAACAGAATGTAGATAAAAGAGACCTTTTACTTACTGTAACTTGTTTATCAAAAAAATACATAAAAAATCTCAGGTGAAAATACTAGTTTCTAGTATTCTGTGTCATTCTGTGGGGGGGGTGGGTGTAATGAAATTGAAAATTTCATGTGACTATTTGCCTTTACGTCTGATGTGGTCAGATCTGAGTTGACTTAAAAAGGCCATGCTTTCACACATGCCTGTGATTTGGTGCCAGCCTCTATCTCAGAACATCTTGACAGCATGGAAGAAAAATTTCTGCGTGGCTTTGACTTTGAGAGGGTGAGGTCGGAGACAGTCACTGTCTGTTATGGATGTTAAGGTCCAGAGTGCATCCACAGGAAAGCTCCTTGGTGTTGTAGCTTTCTGCTGCTTTTGTCACTTTGTGGGTTGAATCAGCGGTCTCTAACCTTTTTTGCACCACGGACCGGTTTATGCCCGACAATATTTTCATGGACCGTCCTTTAAGGTGTCGCGGATAAATACAACAAAATAAAACTAGTACCGGTACCGAAAAAAAGAAGATTTATTCATAACACACGTGAAAAGACCCAGGAAAACCGAGTTAACGATAAAAACGATAAAATAACGCTGAAAACCGATAAAAACCCTGAAAACCATACATTTCACACCTGAGCCTCAACTCTCGTGGCCTGGGACCAAACGACTCACGGACCGGTACCGGTCCGAGGCCCGGGGGTGGGGACCGCTGGGTTAAATTGTAAAAAGAATCTTTACAAGCTTGTTGAGTAAGTGAAACTCAACAAAGAAAGGGCTCCAGCACAGATTCACAGCTCTCACTATAACACTTCTCTTTAAATTCACTTATTTGCCCAGCTTGCAACCAGAATTAGACTACTAAATTAAAGCAGTGATTGTCCACTCCATCTCTCGCCCTGTCTTTTCTCACACACACACACACACACACACACACACACACACACACACACACACACACACACACACACACACACACTCCACACTGCCCTACTGAAATATAGATGAGTTGTGCAGTATCAGGCAGTGGCTGCAGTAACATCAAGCCATTCCAGATCCCCGCAGAGAGACACAGATCAGGACCGAGCTGGATGGAGCCATTATCAGGATGGATGTATTATTAAGGCTGATGTACACTGTGTACTGTCACATGCTCAGCCATGTTATATTCAGGGTAATGACAGTGATTTCTCTGATGGGGTACTGTCTCAGTCAGGAGAAATGGTCACATCAATAATAAAGACAGGTTTATTTTCAAGTTGGGTTCATTTAAATGAGAAAGTTGGTCATGAAAAATTTAGTTTTTATTGCTCATTGATTTTACGCTGCAGCCCCTCAGAATGGTAACCACGTCATGTCAGTGCAGCTGTGATCGGCCCATTCGGTGGTGTCATTTCCTCCTGTGCAATTCCAGCTTCTCTTTCTGTCACCATTTTTTACCCCTTAGCCACGTAAGGCTGATGGGGTATCATGGTCACCCCACCGGGTGGGTGGATAAATGCTGGCAGCAGCAGTGACTATGTAGGCTAAATTGTAGCCTCGTATTGTAATCGCGCATGAGGAGGCCATCTCACAGACGAGCCCTTGTGTAGTGACGTATGAGAAATTTGTCCCTGTTTGTTTGTTTTTCTTGTGTAAAATGACTCAGCTGTCACTCCTGTGCTCTTCAGCACACTTCAAGTTTTTCATTGACAAAAATGCCCGGTGGGGAAAAAGTTAAGGAGATGAGATAATCGAGAAGCTCCGCAAATGCACTGTCAAATTACACTGTGATTCAAAAATCAATCCAACACTCGGAAATGTCCTACTTTATACAGAGAGGTGAACCAGGAGCCTTCTTGTTGTGAGGCAGTAAGTGATCAGCACTACACCACTTAGAGTAAAAGAATAAAATGTTCTTTGGACTGAAAACAGTAATATGGTTAAAAAGAATACAGAAAAGAAGTAGAAACATTATAGTCGAGGAAATTTTATGTATTTATTTTTTATCTCGAAGACATGGAATAGAAAAAAAGAGGCTTCACTGGTATCTTGTTAGATACTGAATGTAAAGATGGAACAGTTTACAGTATAACTGTGCATTTGTGCTTTTAGAAGCAAAGAAACAAAGACTCCTGGAGTCTGTTTGAGTGACACGTCAGATACAGATTTTGTTCTAATGAGCCTTCAGAGTGAGATGAAGGGGGAGGCTGAGAGGGAGTAAATGAGGCAGAGGACAGAGTGTGTGTGCACATAGTATCTATGTGTGTGTCCAGATATAGTGGCAAGAGCCAACTTTAGTGGCAGTAGAAGCTGTCTCAGCCAGGATGAGATTTGATGGTCCTGCACAACAATAAACATGCACATAAACCTATTTTTGGAGATGAGACATCACACTTTGAGAGGAATGGCATCACTGCCTACAGCAGATGTAAAATACACTCACGGACTTTCTGATACAGTTTGTTCACAAGCAACACTTGGAGCACATAAACACATTCTGGGAGATACACAGTTTCACATGCAAATATAAGATAAATAAGTGAGGACAAAAGTTCACATGTACGTGATGTGATTACAAACTAGAGGAAGGGAAAAGGAAGAAATTAAGAAAAAATAAAACTGTGCTCAAGCAGTTCGCCTGTTAATTGATTATCAAGAAATTTAATCAGCAATTTAATCAGCAGCATAAACAGAGAAGCCCACACCTCTCCCTCTCCCCAGCCACCTCCTCCAGCTTGTCCGGGGTAACACCAAGGCGTTCCCAGGCCAACCGAGAGAGAGATATAATCTCTCCAGCTTGTCCTGGGTCTGCCCTGGGGCTTCCTCCTGGCTGGGACATGCCCAGAACACCTCACCCAGGAGGCGCCCAGGAGGCCGCCTTATGAGATGACTGAACCACCTCAACTGGCTCCTTCCAATGTGGAGGAGCAGCGGCTCTACTCTGAGCCCTCCTGGATGGCTGAACTTCTCACCCTATCTCTAAGGCAGAGGCCAGCCACCCTTCGGAGGAAGCTCATTTCCGCCGCTTGTATCCGCGATCTTGTTCATTTGGTCACTACCCACAGGTTGTGACCATAGTTGAGGGTAGGGGTGTAGAACTACTGGTAAATTGAGGGCTTCGCTTTATACTCAGCTCTCTCTTCAACATGATGGACCATCAATCTCCCGCTCCCTTCTCCCGTCACTCGTGAACAAGACCCCGAGATACTTAAACTCCTCCACTTGGGGCAGGAACTCGTCCCTGACCCGGACTGGACACTCCACCCATTTTCCGGCTGAGGACCATGCCCCCAGATTTGGAGGTGCTGATTCTCATTCCCACCACTTCACTCTCGGCTGCAAACTGTTCCAGTTTAATGGTTCAGTGTTTAGAATAATGCTTATTTTATAGTGAACCTTTGTGAAGCCCTTCACTGCTGTTAGAAACCAGCTTTTTTTAGCGCCTTTCCACTTACTTTTAACATAGCTTTCCTTCTGATTGGTTACATTTTTTAAACAGAGGGATTGAGCAGCAGATGGGTGTGGATTTAGTGCTGACGTACTAAATAACTCTGAACGTAAAGCCTTAGTTTTGGCTTTACAGGGGTTACTTTATCATATGCTTAAATATGGCTTGAAACTTTAGCCATGTCTAATTTGAGCATCCAATTTAACAATCCAATCCAATTTTATTTTTTTTAAAAAGTTGACAAAAGTAGTGTTGTGTCGGTCACGAACGAAATGGCTCTTAGTAATAAAAGCATGTATAACTTTCCAAAAGTTAATAATAAATAAGAAGTGCTTGACCTTAGAAGCCTTAGTTGGTAAAAACCTAATTGAACAAATGAATTAAGAATTGTTTGTTCAGTCTTTAAGTTACAGCCCATTTTCACACCAAGCTTATTTATAATGGAAACTAAAAACGCTACGTCCAGATCAACAGAATCAACCTTTGGAGACATTGGACACAGGTCCAGTTTTGGATCATCGCTGGAACTAATTGGTTTTTATTATTGTAATTCATACTTCTCATTAAAGTAAAAAAAAAAAATTAAGGTCATTCAGACTTTAATGTCACTTGACAAAATATGTAATACTTTTAGGAGCAGGTAGATTTGGAAATCATCAGCACAGAATTGATACCTGGCAAAGTAATAGAATAGAACCCTGTGAAACTGGTTAGATCTAAAGCACTAAAATAATGCTGTCCACAGAGTCATTAGCTAATAA